TGCAGAGTCTGTGTTTGAGTCTCAATACAGACGCGCTGCACATGAACGCATGAAGCACATAGCTCAGGTGCAAGAATGAGAGCATGTTTGATTTTGTGTGAAAGATGCGGCTTCCGCTTGGTCCTTAACATGTCAGCCTGCTGAGCTTGTTAGTGCATTCAACACATGTTTATACAAAGCAGAGGTGAGCAGGTGAACTGAGGCTGTTACTGACTGAAATTAAAGAGCTGAAACTGCTCCACAGTGTCAGTCAGACCCTGCCACAGAAATTCTTGACATATTATTAAATCTAAAACTAAAGACTTTTCTTACACTTTTAACTTCCTCACATCACCTCATTTTCCTTCCTCTTCCCATTTTTGACCTTCTTCCGTCAGACAAAAACTGTGTGTTTGCCCAGTTAATGCAGTTTGGTTGTCTGAAAGCTAAACCAAACACCGCAGACCGAGACCGCACTGACGATGAGGGTCTTGGTCCTCCTCCAAGTTGACTCTTGTGTGGGTTTGTTCCCTGTGTGAAAGCAAAGCAGATGAACTGCAGGATGTTTTGACAGTAGATATTATGAAGGCTGTAGATATTAGGAAGTTTTACACAATCATTTCTTAACCATGGTAAACACATGGGTGTGTTGTATTTAAAAAACTGAGTAAAAAGAAGTGAACCACAGCGACTCTCTGCCTGATGTCACGAAGAGATACAAATCGACAAGACAAATGCACAAAATGATAAAAAAAAAGAACAAAAAAAAGTCGTGTTCTTCTTTGTCTTTTTCTGTCTCTGTCATTCGGGTGCCTTGCTCCTGTGTGGGCAGAAGCTTTTACCCAGGAGCCCCATTATCTCATGATCTTTTTATCCGTCCATGCTGTAGCACCGATGATCAGGTTAAGTCGCTTAATCCAAAAACGGGCAAAGAGATGGGGTGCGTGTGGAGCCGAGACTTGTTTGTGGCAAGGAATCACCTCACCCACCTGTCACTCAGACTGGCACGCCCTCAATTATACATAATTTAAGTCTTAATAAAATATAAATAGGTGAGTTATATAAAAAGCAATTGTCATGAAGGAGGAAATTTAGCTATAAGAGCAAAAAAGAGCAACATGGTGACTGGACTCACTTTGGAACCAGCTCAAGTGTCATTACTAGGAACTGCAGGAACTGAACTTTTTTTCAGCCCCAGAGGTTGCTGCTGGGTTCCATGACCACTGTTTCTACAGCTTTTGGTTTTGTTTGTATAAAGTCAGTGTGAACAGGAACCACAATCAGAAAAAAAAGACAGTATCACAGAAAAAAAGCAACAATGATCCATTAAAATCACTTTCAATGAATTGGAAAAAGACTAAAAACGTAGCCGGTTTGATCGCTCCAGTCAGGACCAAATGATTCCCTGTAGCTAAATTTAATTCAGTTTAGTTATACTTGTGTTAATTCACCACATAAACCTTAGTCATGACTGAATTCGACTCGGCTTTCTTTCCTCCGCAGGCTCTCCGTTCAGAGACGAGATCACTCTGGGGATTTTACAGCTGCAGGAGAGCAACAGGCTGGAGATCCTGAAGAGACGCTGGTGGGAGGGAGGACAGTGTCCCAAGGAGGAGGACCACCGAGCCAAAGGTGGGTCTCTCTGCATCTGTTCTTTACCTTTCAGGAAAACAAAGGCTGTCTTTCAGGCCTGGTTCCAGACTGCTTTGATAGGGGGGGAGGGGCATTAAGAGACACTGACTGGTCACTAACTGCCAGACTTTAAGACTGGTTACTGGGGTCCTCTATGAGTGTCCTTTAAGACTGTAAGATATAACATGCACTGTTTTAAGTTATTTAAAACTGAAGCCATAGAATAATCACAAAAACTACAATCAGATCTAGAGATCAATAAAACTCGGCTGTTCTCATCAGAGTCAAGTCACTGACTTTGAATGAAGTAGACTGGAAACCAGAGAATAAGTAACTGAGTGGTGAGGAAGTGAAGTGATGGCGAGGCAACTGCTCTGCTCACTGGATCCAGTTGTTATATGACCAGACCAACCACTCAGATATATAAATAAACTGTGATTATTTGAATGTGGCGTGTTTATGATTGGTCACATGGACAAGGACAAAATAAACACAACATGACCATGAAAGACAATGTTTGGTGAGGGAAACATGTTGGACAATCGTGCAATAGATTTTGTGTTTTGTTTGATAGACCCTCGCTGACCTCGCAAACAACAGCACAAACTACAGCTCCAGAAGTTAAACTAGCACATCTCCTAAACTGTTCCAACAAAATGTTCTCTGAGGTTCAACCGCTGCGTTAGATCAGCATTCGTTTGTATCAGTGAGGCTCATAAACTGGCAACTGAGAGTGTGTTTCTCATCTGATACACAAGTCAGGCCACATCACAGTACAAGTACAACTCACATGTCGTCAGTGCAACAGGATTTTACTGAAGCACAAGACAGGCAAAAAAAAGAAGGGGGTAGACGGGGGGAGAGAAGTATGGGGGGTTGGAGGGGAGAGAAAGTAGGGGAGGGAGGGAGTGGGGAGAGGGAGGTGGGGGGGGGGGGTGTTCCATTCAGGGCATGGACTTTTTGAGGATGCGGTTCCTGGACATGCAGTAACCATCAATCTGCTCCGACAAGAGGCGGCTGCACTTCCTCTGTCCATACAGCTCTCTGAGGCTGCGAGCCTCCTTCTTCCTCTCCAGCTCATCCTCACCCTCATCCTGCTTCTTTCTCAGTCCAGACTTCAGTCTCTTCTGCAGCCAGTGCAGGGCCCTGGTGGACTTTGGTGTAGCTTGAGACTTGAGGCTCTTTCCTTCAGCCCTGCAGCTGAGGGCGGAGTCGTCTGGGCGGAGCTCTTCCTCGCAGCGTGTCGTCTGCTCTCCAACCCAGTTGTTGATCAGAGTTTTTCTCTGACCCTGTTCCTGGCTCTTCACCACAGAGGTCAGGCGCTTCAAGCTGGTGTTGTGTTGCACACAGCGAAGCTCCGCCTCCTCGCGCCTCCTCTGCTGCGCCTTCTTCAGATCACTGATGGTGTAAATGGGTCTCGTGATGGGCTGCTCCTGCACCATCATGACCTCTCTCCACTGAAGCGTCTCTGTCTTCAGTTGCTGCTGCTTTTCTTTCTCCAGGGCCTTTTGATTATCTTCCCTCCTCTTCTCCTCCTCTCTCTGTTTGGCCTCCCGCCTCCTCCTCTCCTCTTCAACTCTTTCCTTCTGCCTTCTCATACTTTCAGCTTCTTCATCTCTGTCCTCCTTTTCTCTCCTGCTCCTCTGAAGCTCCTCCAGAGCAACTCTTCTTCTTCTCTCCATCTCCATCTCTCTCAGCTCGTTAAAGCTCTCTCTCCTGAGATACGCCCTTCTCTCTTCAGGGGTCATTTTGCGAATGTTGTTGGCGATCTCCATCTCAGCGTGGAGTTCATGTCGTGGTCTTGCCATCTTGTTCTAGTTCACTTGTGCAGCTCAATCTGTGTGTGTGTGTGCGTCTTGCAGAGGTGTTTGGTGAAGGGATGCCGGTAAGAAGAGTGGCGGAACCATGGAACAGTTCCATCAGTTATTACACAGATTCCTTGATTCCCTCACAGTTCTGCTTCTAGAATGATCCGTGTGTCTGTTGATCCTCAGTCAGTCATTAAGAGATGTTGACTGGTCACTAACTGCCAGACTTCAAGACTGGTTACTATGGGGTCCTCTATGAGTGTGCTAGAGCCGGGCCCGCTGGGTTTGGATTGTGGGATGAGATCAGAAACTTCTTGGAGGAGGAGGAGGACGAGAATGAACTTGTTTCAGTAACTCTGTGAACTAAATCTGCAGACGCAGGGCGCCAACACACCTCCTCCACAGCTGGAAGATAAAATCACATCACTCACAAGAATACTGGAGACGTGGGAGCAGCGAGTGAAACACAGGGGGGGGGGGACATAGACTCCTTCATCGAGGTCAACAAGCTGCAGAACACCGTGACCTCATATCTCTGCCTAACACAAACATTTCCAGAGGTTTTTCCCAGTGCAGGATTCTGCAGAATATGTCTGGATCCCAGGAGCTCTTCGGAGCAACAGCAGCTGCTGATTTCAGCACCACAGAAGAAGAACAGCTCATAAATGTCACCTCTGATTCAAGGACGAGGCTGCATTTTGGATTGAAGTGGAAAAGGACACAGCAGAGCCACACTCCGTCCTTCATATTCGCCCACTCCTACCTGTGTTGAGAGGTTTTTTTTCAGCAGTTGCTTCAATCAAGTCAAAATACAGATCACAGCTGGACATTGAAAATGAGGTCAGAGTGGCAGCTGCATCCCCGACTTTAGAATATCGACAACACAAAGAAGCCCACAGCGGTGATTGAGGAGATCGAGTAAAGGATGAGTTCTTGCAGAGAAAACGTTCAGGTTTTGTTTCTTTATTCCCGGGGAGTTGGTAAACTTGCCATTTTTGTGCAGAGAGGCAGTTTTGAGAAAATCTGTTGAAAAGCAGCAGATGCACGCTGCAGTGTCGCTTTTAATTGCTTCCACTCAAGAAGGGACTTGTTCCTTATTTAGTTCATTCAGGAAGATGCAGTAAAGATTTTGGGAGCCACTGCCAACAAATGAACGTACAGATGAACGGATTATGAAAATGTGTCGTTGATAAATCTGTTGACGAAGTGTAACTGTAAAAACCGAAGATTCAGCCTGACTCAAAAAAAAAAACAACAAAAAACAAACAAAAACAAAAAAAAAAAAAACAGACGAGCTCCAGCGGCAGATGGTGCAATCATTTAAAGATGCACAACAATTAGCTGTTTACACATCTGAGTGTACATGTAACACAAGAGTCTGAAAACAGAGTCGGCACACTCTGCAGGAAGGTGGATGCAGCCAGATGTTCTGCAGGAAAGCAGCTGTGATGTCTGTTTGTAGAGACATGTTTGTTTGAGTTTATAGGGGATTTTTTTTTTTTTTTTTTTTGGGGGTTTTGTGTTTAACACAGACATTTCCAGTATGAAGAAAAAGGCGGGTAAGCGTGGCATCTCGACAGTGTTGACCTGTGAGTGAACAGCCAGCCGGGGAGTCCAAAATATAGCTATTGGAGCTATTTTAGCTTATTAGCTGAGCTTATTGTTCCACAGAGGAGCAGCGGTCTGCAGACAGACTGAGACAGGAGACAACGGTCTGTTGAGTTTACTGGCTCACCATTAGCTTTAGTTTTCCATCTTCAATAACTTTATTGAACAAAGCGGTGCAGCAAGGTGAACGAATGTCAGGGGGAGTAAAGAGACAAGCGGAGAGAAAACAGAGACGCCAGCTGATTTCCTGCTCGTCTTCGTGATGAGACAAAAACGTAAAACAGCCTCTGACATGACACAAACTTTATCATCCAGCGTGTTACTTCTCTGTATCCATCGATTTCTCCTTCTTTTTTTCTCAATCGATTATGAAGACTGAATTTTTCCTTTAACGTTTCCATTACTGGCGCACTTTTCTTTTTTTTTTCTTTTTTTGTCCTGATGTGTGTCAGTGTAAGGAGACAAGACAGTTCCTCTTCATCGACTTTCTCACTCTGATCATGGTTTTATCAGTCCTGTCTGAGTATTGATCCGCTGCTCTCTGTCATCCGTTCATATAGCTTCCTTCATTCCCAGTGTGTGTGTGTGTGTGTGTGTGTGTGTGTGTCTGACTCTGTTGGGATCCCATTAAGACCCATTAAGACTAATCAAATGTCTCTTTATTGCTGATTGCACAGTATACAGTATGTGTGTGTTACTGTTCCTTTATTTCCCACATGTCCTCACAATTATAGACAGAAACTGTGAGGAAAATCCTCCAAAATAAAAGCCTTTTAGTCCTTCCTCTGAAGAGAAGTTATGAGCTCAGGTCTTACAGACAAGCAGCTAACAAATTGCGTGCTTTTATATGTATTTCTGTTTTGGTTTTTTTGTATTTTTTGTGGGGGGGGTTTTTGTGTTGTGTGTAAAGACACTAGAAGTTATTGATCAGTTTTTCAATCAGTTTTTTTGGAAAACCTTATTTATAGCATTTAATAATTAACTGATTTATTTCCACCTAAAAACTCAAAAAAAGAAAAAAAAAAGAAAAGTAGACCAAGATGAATGAATGGGTAGCCATGCTACGGGCTGCCTCAGACAGCAACCATAAGCATGCTAACACGCTAAACTAAGATGCTGAATGTGGTAAACATTATACCTGCTAAGCATCGACATGTTAGCATGACGGCTAATGGGCCTAGGCACAGCCTCACAGAGCCTGAAGCAGTGCTTTAGGTTCTACAGGTGTTTAGACAGAAGGTGAGGGTCACTTTACTTACATCCTCTTATAGTCTGTGATTTAATTTGACTGTAGTCATCAATAAAATAATCCCATAATTTTAATCTCTCCATAAAGCTCGTTTTGTTGTTTTTGAATGTGCTTTGTTGACTAGACTTATTAACCTTACCTTTAAATGGCTAAGATGAGAATGTGACTTTTATTCCGTATTGAATAAAGCTGTTATCATCACTCTCCTCTGTGTGTCTCAGGTCTGGGGATGGAGAACATCGGCGGGATCTTCGTGGTCCTGATCTGCGGCCTCATCATCGCCGTCTTCGTGGCCATCATGGAGTTTGTGTGGTCGACGCGTCGAACCGCCGAGACGGACGAGGTAAACCTTCACCATCCTCCTCCTCCTCCTCCTCCTCTTCCTCTCTCGTCCTCCTCCTCCTCCTGCCCCGCCCCCGGCCTCAACCTCAGCTCAAACAGCTCAGTAGGTCGTCCGCCTGTTCGCCTGTGTGCCTGTCGAGTGTCATCAGAATGAGCTTCATTCAAAGTCGCCCATTAACCTCGCCCATTCTGCTGAGTGGCTCCATTATTAAATCATCTTGTTGTTGTTGTTGTTGTTGTTGTTGTTGTTGTTGTTGTTGTTGTTGTTGTTGTTGTTGTGAAGCTGAATTTGGGGCAAATGTGTATAAGATGATGTACAGGACACGGGGTGGTGTAGTCATAAAAACAAAAGCTCCTGGGTTTTACACGAAGGTTTTCTTGTCAGCGTTCGTCTTTTTTCGTTTACTTTTGTTTTCACGTTGCTTCGTCTCTTGGCGAGTTTCTTTCACCCGGAGGTTCTGATGTTTTACATCAACCTGTTCTTTGACAAGTTATTAGCATTTTGTGTCTGTTTATGTTTAGTTTAGCCTATTGTTGTTCCTGTAATATGAAAAAAGAAAAATTCATTCTCTATAATGGTTGTATTAGGTTTTACCTGTCAAGCATCTGATATAAATTCTGTTTTCTTGCTCCTGGGTGCTAAACATTTAACTAATCTTGTGCTAACTCCACCGTGCTCTTAGCTGGGTTTGTTCCTGTTCAGCTTGTAACGTGATTTTCATTTGTTACATTCAAAGCTCAGACACTGATGCTGATAACTCCAGCTATCTTAGCATAACAAAAATTTGCTGCAAAAAGCTGCAAATTTTCATTTTCATTTTTTGGTTTATTTGTTGCATTGTTTCGAATTTGCATTGTCAGATTTAAAATCATGATACAGCTCATACAGTTTCACTGTCAGAGGAAAATCTTTGACGAAATTTGACGAAATGTGTCTAAATTAAAGCATGTGACTGGATTGTTGTCTGTTTAAAGCTCCAATGAGAACTTAATACATGAATCAATAATTCTGTGTATTAAAATAAAGCATAATTTTTGTCCTGCCTCACCAGATACAACCAGATAGTTTAGAAAGTTCTATAGAAAACATGTCTACTAAAAAAAACCATTTGAATACATGATACAATTTTGATATTATATATTAAGAGTACAATGAGGATGCCGGTTATATGGATAAATAAAACCTTATTGTTCATCAGTTTTATCAGTGTCACAAAGTGTCATCAATCAGTGGAACAGGAAGTGGATTATGTTTCAAGAATACACCCTGCTCCATAGCACTGAAGTCAAAAAACTGCTCAATGTAAAAATACTGATTAAATATTGATTAGTGTGGCTTGAAAAAGAAGCTTGATATGAACCTGAAAGACACATCAGAGCAAGGAAAATAATTTGAATTCAGAAAAAAGGAAGCAGAGATGTCTCTCTCTCTCTCTCTCTGTCTCTCTCTCTCTCTCTCTCTCTCTCTCTCTGTATCTGTATTCCAGCCGTCAGTCTGTTGTTCGTTCATTCGTCCTCTGCAGATGCAGTTTGTTTCTGACTTTCATTCGCTCTTTATTTTATCTGTCATTTATTTGACTTTCTGCCACGGCTGTTTTTTTACAGTACAGATTATAAGGCAAACACACACACACACACACACACACACACACACACACACAACCATATCTACAGATAACATTGGTTTGAGGCGGGAAGCTGCAGAGCATTAACACTCGCTCAGATAAAAGCACCCAGAGCATAATGTGTTGATGTGTGAGCACAAGTCTTCATCACTCACACATTCTCTCTCTCTCCCCTCATCATATATGAACACATGAACACACACACACACACACACACACACCGACAGACACACACTCACACATTTTTTATCACTCAGCTTTATCACTGAGATTATATCCAGATAGAGTGTTTCCAAAGCAAGGATGAAAGAGAAGGAGAAAACAAACTTACCTTTATTATTGAACACGTCACAAAATGTATATCTTTTATTTATATTATCAGTCCCTTCAGGATTTTCGCAGCCATTTTTGCGATTGTTGCGGGCTGAAATACCTGATATCATGGCAGTTTTTCTTAAAAGTTGCAATGAATTTTGCAATGTTTTTATATATTTTTTTTTTTTCAATGAAACTGCGGGAGAAAAAAAAGAAATTGCAAAAATTGTCGCTAGTAATTATTGTTAAATGTAAATGTGAGACGTTCATGTCATGTTCGTGTCTCACAGCTTCGCAACATGCTTCAAAACCAGGAACAAGGAAGTGAGTTTGATGACGCACATCAAGGTTTAGCGCAGGGACTGGTAGGATTGGCTTAACTCATGGGAAACTATAATGATCGGGACTGTGGGAAAGTTGCGGCGGTTGGACAAAAATGCAAGGTCATGCAGAATTCACAGGGATTGGTTGAATTTGCGTTTACTGTTGCGCTCACAACATCGCAACTTTCTGGAGGGACTGTATTATATTAATCATATTAAGAGGCCTGATGTAGATGTAGTCAGTCTATCTCTCTCTCTCTCTCTCTCTCTCTCAGGTGTCTGTCTGTCAGGAGATGCTGACGGAGTTTCGTAACGCCGTCTCCTGTAAGAAAAGCTCCCGCTCTCGTCGCCGCCGGCCTCTGAGCAGCACTGGGGGTGGAGTCCTGCGTCACCCGTCCCGCCTCGCTCTGGCCGCACCTCGCCCCATCCGTCTGGTCCGAGAGATGCGTCTCAGCAACGGCAAACTGTACAGCGGCGCCGGCCCGCTGACGGGTGGGCTTGCGGGGCTGGGAGGAGGTATGGCAGGAGGCCCTGATTTGGGCCCGGGGCCACAGAGGCTCCTGGAGGACCCGCTTGGCGCCAACGCCACCACCAGCACGCCTCCTCCTCCCCCTCCCCCGGCGTCATCCCTGGTGGCTCCACCCGCCCCGCCGCGCAGCTTCCTGCAGAGCTGCAGCCATGTGCGGATCTGCCAGGAGTGCCGGCGGATCCAGAGCCTGCGGCCGGCCACGCTTACGCCTCCCCCACCTCCTCCCCCTTCCTCATCCTCCTCTGCCTCCTCCTGCTCCCGGATCCCACCCTCAGTGGTGGGGCCAGGTCACCACCACCACCACCGCCACAACCCTCACCACCTCCACTACCACCACGGCTCCATGTCGCTGCCTCGCCTCCCGCCACCGCCTCCCCCGATGTCGACAGACAGAGCTGACAGTGACGGGGGAGGTGGGGGGGCAGCAAGCCCTCAGTGGGGCAAAACCAAACCAGCTCCACCACCCAGACCGATGCCCCCTGCCAAGACGCTGACACACCCGCCAACGGACCTACTTGGGGGGCACGACTGAGCTGCAGGACACTAACGGAGGGGTCAATGAACTTTACATTTTGGCCCCAACAACACAGCTGGATCAGTCTAAACCGGTCTATCGACAGGGGGTGGAGGGGAGGAACCATTCTGACCCATTTGTGGGGTCTTTCACTAAAACAAAGCCACTTTGGCTCAGTGGATCGTACCAGAAACTTTCCCACAGGGGTGGACGGATCAAACCACTCCGACCTGTTCGCAGGATGAATGAGACATATGTTACATTTTGGATGAAACCAGCTGAGGTGTCCGCTGTCTTTGGATTGTGGGGCTGCAGAGGATGGACAAACAGGAAGTGGCGCCCACACTCAGTCCTCCACCTCTTGCCTCAGGCAACCATCACGCTCGGTGCCAAGCGAGGAGGACTCAGAGACACAGAGACAGACTCTGAAGTTTTACTGTTTGAATACTGAACCAGGTGTTTGTACAGAAGGACACACACACACACAGACACACACACACACACACCTACACACACACACAGAGACAGTAGCAGAGCAGCTGTACAGTTTTCATGGTCATCTGTCAATCATGTGGACGTCTGTGGAGGATGTAGCTCTAACACTCTTGCTGTTTGTACAGACTCCTGCTGAGCGGTGCTCTGAAAAACAGACTCACCTCAAGTGTACGAAGCTGAGCTGGGGTAACTCTTATTTTACATGTAGCGTCCGATTGATCAAATAAAGGATGATGCATGTATTTTTGAACTTTGGACAGAGACAGACGTTTCCCCCTGTTTCCAGTCTTTATGCTAAGCTAGGCTACCCACATCCTGACATAACACTGATATCCATCTAAACATCTCCCTCTTTTTTCCAAAGTGCTGAGCTATTCTTTTAAGGTTTGAACAAAGCGAACTGTACACTGCCGCCAAAGAGCGAGGAAGCATCTACTGCTTTGCTTTTCAAAGTAAAAGTCCTAAGAATCCCATATAGCCAGAACAGCTTTGTCTAAAAGCTAAATCTGACATCTATCATTTCCAAGGTCATGCCAGTTTGAATGATACAAACAAAACAGCTAAAGCACTGGTCCAGCTCCGGCTGCTGGCCCAACGCTGGCCCATAGCTGGCCCAAAGCTGGCCCAGCTGTTGCTAATTGGAGTTACCCCAAACTCAGACCAAATCTGGCAGCCATATCTGGGTCGAAGCCAGGTCGCATTTGGAAATACAGCACCACAAATTCAGATTAGAAAATCTGTAACGTACATTGACAGTGAGGGACTGTATGAAAATTATAAGGGGCCAGGTTTTATTTGGCTAAAGGGAGGTGGGTCTTAAGATTTTTTAGGAGGGCAGGGAAGCAGATTTATGTTTGATTTTAGTCTTACTTTGCTAGATTTTTTGTAGTGAATTTTATCAATTTTCTTTTTCTAATGTGCAAATTGGAGGCTATTGTTCCTCTCCATACATGTTTTAATCTGTAAAAAATCTCTGCTATGATTAATATTTTGTTTAACATGGTTGTCCCGCATAATAAGTGAAAAGAAAGGAAAACTGGGTCTGAAGTTCATCTACTCTTACTTCCTCATTGAGAAATTCTGGACCAGACCTTGTGCCCCACCCACCACCACCTGCTTGCTCCAGGTGGACAGGTGAAAGAGCAGAGAGTATCAAGACGGTTAGAGCAGGAAACATCAGAGAGACTCAGCCACATGTTTGAGCCTCAGTCAGACCCAGATGACGAGTCTGTTGAGACCACAATCAGAGACTAGCAGATGTATCAGAACAGTTAGCGCAGTTAGCATCTTTTATCTGTTTATGTTGTTTGTTAGCTTGTAACTGGCAGCGGCTGACACGGTGTTAGTGGTTGTGCTGATGCAAACTCGCTCTCTGTACTGACATGGTTTATTTAGCCCCGCCCCTCATCCCCACAAGTTGACAGGATTGGTTCCTGAGGTTTGTGACTTATGAAACCCTGGCTGTCTGAGTCTGTATTTATGAGACTGTCATTGGTTCACTGCAGTTCAAGGTGGAAACACTCAGTCATGGTGCTGACTGATTATTTCACTCATGATATGTCTTGTATTATATAAAAACATCATATGGATGTTAACAAAGTTAAACATGGAAGGAGTCTTGAGTGAATGTGAAATGAAGATTTATGTGAACAAGTTGGCGCAATGGTTACACTGATATATTCATATTAACTGCTATGTTATTTTTGAATTTTGGGGGGGGGGGTTGGTTTTTTAAATAATGAAACATAAAGGTTCAGCCTCTCTCTCAAATCCAGTAATTTGCATACAGTCCCTAAAAGAAGAACTACCTTTAGTATAGTTTTGTATATTTTAGGTGAGTATTGAAGCTGTTTTGATCAAAGTTTTTCCAAACAGTAAGTCAGTGGAGCTCAGTCATACAAACTACACACACACACACACACACACACACACACACACACACACACACACACACACACACACACACACACACACACACATGTATACGTAAAACTTTGGAGGCCAAACTGGAAAAGAAAAAAAAATTAAATTTGTGATTGTAATTTCCTTCCTGTGTCCAACCTGATTATTGCTTGTTTTCTTTCTTTCTTTCTTTTTCTTTATCATGGGAACATCGAGTCTTGATGTAATGATGATTCACTCTCCACTTTAAAGTGCTGGCAATCTCCCAGATCCATACACACACGTCGACAGATCATATCGACCGATTACACAACATAAGTGCTGATATTGATTGTCAATTCCACGTGTAATTGCTTTACAGTCGCCCGGTTGCAATGTACAAACACAAAGGAGCCAAATATTAATCAACTCCTACACATTTTTTTCAATGTATTTTTTTCACACTTGTTTTGTTAAAGCGCAGTGCCTGTAGTTTGTTTGTTTTATTGTTTTCCTTTTCATCTTCTTGCATAGAAACTGTTTAGAAACTGATCCAGCAGCAGCAGCAGCCGAGATGAAGAAAATTATAAAAACGCACAGGAATGTTGATGTAAAATGTGACTTTAAATGGGTGATTTCAGTGTGTGTGAGCGTGCGTGTGCGTGCGTGTGCGTGCGTGTGCGTGCGTGCGTGTGCGTGCGTGTGTGTGTGTAGAGTGAATCCTGTTGTGCGTTTCATCATATTGTCAGCTGTTTATGTTTTTTCTGCTCCTCCTCTCAGATTTGTACCAGCAGTGCTCAGCTGATCAGCAGGACGGAGGCGACAGATGGATATTATTCTGATGATTCTGTTGTTATCATTATTATTGATATTGACGTGTGGGGTGACTGTAGGAGGGCACCGGCCCTCTGATGTTCAATATATAGACACACGTTTGGAATAAAAAAAAAAAAAAAACAGTCAATGTGTCAAAAACACTGCTGGTGGTGACGTGTTTATTTAACCAAACCCCAGAGTCTGAGCTGAAAGATGGATTTTCTGGTTTGTACCATGAAAGCCTGTGTAAAAAAAAAAAAAAAACATAAGCTCATGGGTGTTTTACAAATGTGAGGGAAGCTCCGCTATTTTATTTTGGCATTTCATCACCTAGGTGCAGACCTAGAGTATTATGAGTTTCTAGTATTTTCTGTGTGCACCTTTCAGCCCTCAGAGAGACACAAACGCAATGTGCTGGTACGGAAGTAAAGCAGCATGCCTCATTAATCTAGATGTACAAAACTCACATGCGTGTTGTAACATGGCAGTAGCAGGAAATAAGAAATCACCTGGAGACGTAAAAAGTATTAAAATCAAATTGCAAAATAACTATTAACAAAAAACCAGTGCTAAAAGTTGTGTTACTTAACTAAACTGCAGCATACTGAGTCTGCAGGTATCAGGAGTAGTATCCACAGGCTAACAGGCTAGCCGTCTACTGTCTGTCCCTGAGCCCTGAAGCTCCCACTCGGCCTATTCAGCAACATATGAGCTGCAGTTCTGTACGAGACGTATCGAGGTCAGTGAGTCTGTAAGAGAGCTGGTATCAGCTCAGTCAAGTCTGCAGGTTTGTACAGGTTTGTAGTGCTGAACAGTCTCAGCGGCTACGCTGAGCCCACAGGGAAAAACTTGATACACTCAGTCACTACCTGCATTGATTAAAGCTCACGCAGATTGCAATGCCTCCATTTCTATGACAGACAGTTTGGTGACATGTGAAAGGTCAGTAGATGAGAGAAGGTAAAAGCTTTTGTCAGTGTTGGACATGTGGCCACTTCCTGGAGGCAGAACAAACCAGTGTAGACTCGATTCATATCAAATTCACACTGAAACTGCCGTCTGTTACAGTGAGTTTTAGTCAACTGTTGGGTTTTGTTTTGTTTTTTTTGTGATATTGTTATGTTTTCATGACAGGTTGTGTTTACTTTTTGTTTTTCCTTTGCTTTATTTTTGCATCTTTTTGATTCGTTTCTGCTTTTATAGATTTTTCTTTTTTTTTTTACTTGTTTCATTTGTGTTTTTGTTTTTATTTCTCCTTGTTTTTGGTGAGTTGTTTATCTTGTGTTTTTGAATGTTTGGTTTGTTTGGTTTTATTTTTGTGGTTTTGATGAATTTTTCATTTTGTTTGTTTTGTTTTGTTTGTGGGTGTTTTTGTCCTTTTTAACTTTTTAATGTTTATAGTTCTTTCAATAGAATTTTGTTTTTTTGATCCACTTTTCTTAATTATTTACTCTTATATTTGTTGATTTTTTTTTTCTACCTTATCTAATTAGACTAGAAACAGATTTTTTTTTTCATCTTAGACCATCATTCATCACAAAACCAGGTTTTTTCTCCAGTGAAGCCAGGAATCAGGTTTGTGTGTTCAGAGCAAAGAAGCAGATGTAGCATCACTGAACAACCAGCAGAGGGCGGTGCAGGCCAGATGAAAAACACCACAGACAAGAAACTGGAAAAAAAACACACACACACACACACACACACAACACTATGAGTGAGTTTATTAACATGAACAGAAAAACTAATAAGAGTAAGAGAAAGAAATGTCTATGCAACAGAAATGATGAAAATATAATTTATTAAATATATTATAATTCAATGATACA